CAGAAACAGTATACACACACTCACACAGAGTCCTGGAGTTAATGCAGTACGAGTGTTGTAAATTTGCACAAGAGGGCCCTAGTTAGCAGCTTGCACTGCTATATAAAGGGGAGAGTTGTTTCCATTTCCAGAAATTTATAGCTAGTAAGGCCTCGTCCATCACACAGCTCTATATTACAATGCAAATGTGGAAAAAGCTGCGCTCCTTCAAAGCTGTAGCACTGTGATTCCTGATTGGTCTAAGAGAGCCATAGCTGGTTTTACATGAAGAAGATTCAAATTACTGGAGTGGGTGGTCGCAAGAGGCAACAGTAAATCCTGTTGACTAAAGTGACCCACACATGCATTATACATCCTGTCTGAGGAAACCTGTGACCTCTGGACCACTGTGCTATTGTTCATGCCCAGAAAACACAAACACAATCATATTCACAATTTGTGTCACAACCCCTAGATCCGACAGTACCGACACACACTTAACCCAGAACCTTCAACTTAATTATGATTCTGGCCTTAGAGTGTAACAGCCACACGCATACACACTGTCATAGACATTTCCCTCATTAGTAAACCCAACATGTGTACTAAGACCAGAGAGAGCATGATACTAATCTGCTCTCAGTCTGAAACCTCTGTGTTGTGACTGCATGTTGGCACATCACTGTGTGTGTATGTTGTGCACAGTGTCACCCGCTGAGTGTTTTCCATAGACAGGGCAGTAGGTTATCTTCTTATGAAGATCATCCATAAAGATGTTCCTGGGGTTTATCAGCTTGACAAGTCTTATCATAATGTCAGCATTTGTTTGCAAACACAGCATACTGTCATCACAGCACATCTCTGCCTGTGTAGGAGAGTTTATTAAACTACATTAACACAGACTGCTTTTTTTTTTTTTATAAGGGTAAAGAGTGAGAGTACTTGTCTGTGTTTGTATATAATAGCCCTTAATTACATAAACCAATTAATTTCCCACAGTTTCTGCCCAATCAATACGGAGCGAGGTGGACTACTCATGGCTTGGGATCAGCAGCAGTGCACAGGTGTTGTACAGTGTAAATGTGTGTGTTCTTTTCCCAGTGACACCCAAAGCAAACAATGCAATCTCTCTAGTCAGTAGAACTTATCAGAGCCTCTCATCAGCTCAGAGTAGAAATGCCCTACTGCTAACAGGTCTGATAAAGGTGCTGAAGGTCCCGACTAAGAGCTATCTCAACACATCTCTTTGTGCTGTTGACAGCAAAGGCTTCATGAATATCAGTAAGCCCAGACTCTTTGGAAGTCCCTCTCCTGACATATCACTTGATTAAAGTGAGAAAATGGCACAAGCTCTGGGTAAAAATAGGTCACTCAGATTTTACAGATGGTCCTTGTTGCTGAGCATATTTTCCCAATTAAGGCTGATTAGGGAAGGAAATTCCCAGACAGCGTGAATTATTAAAAACCTGTAATGGAATCTGATCATGTGACATCGTATGGTTGTGACAGCCGATGTCCCCAGATATGTCCTGGAAAAATAGGGGGTGGGGGTGAGCCCTGGGACTACTGATTGGATGAAGTGGGAGCTGAGTTTCCACCTATTGTTTTAAAGCTTTACAAACTGCAGTGATGGGAACAACTCTAGATGATATTACATTAACCAAATTGTTAAATTCTAACTTCACAGTGGTGACAGTAATATTCACAAGAGTGCTAAATAAAATGACTTGTTGTTGTGTTGCGTTTATACTGCATGAGCAACAATAACCTTCTTTGCCACCACAGGCAAACATCGGAAAGAAATGTCTAACACTGATCTGGTCCTTACCTGCACCCAGAGTCTTATCAGAAAGTATTAACCCTGCAGTTGGTGAATGAGAGAAGGGACGCCAACTGTCACAACTAAAACAATCCAAAAGCAAGTGAACAGTACTGAACTCAGAGGCTTGAGCTTACAGATAAATGTAATCAACAATGGAGACTGTCCACCTGTAAAAGGTGACTGTATGTTAGTGCCAGCAGGTTATTATGATCACTTAAATGTTGTGGTTTGGTGACCTCGAGGGATTGTGCAGTAATTATGAGATGAGCAAAGTAAGCAGTTAGGAGTTGCAGTATATGAAGCCAGAAAGTCCACACTGGGAGAAGTGTGGAGGTGGATGGCTGGATACATAAAAACACAGGACTTTCACCTAACAAAGTAGTTATTGTTGCTAAACCTGACCAAGTACGTAACAAAACAATGATGGTTTCATAATCGTAATGGCATATTTATGACAGTTTCCATGACTATGAAGTTCTTACAATTCCACTTGCCAATGCAGGAGTGCTGTTTTAGGAGATGCCCCTAGGACATATGAGAGGGAAGGGACAAACAACCTAGTATGGGTCGTATAGGTTGGAGGACTTTTTGATTTGGCTAATTAAATGTAAAAACACAAAAAAAAACAGCACTTTATAATTGATCTAAGAGGCCCATAATTCATCCAGTAATTGCTTTGACTTATTTCGACTGATTAAACATTGTCTCAAGACTGTGTGGGCGTGTCCAGAGTGAGACTGATTGATTTGATCCTTTACTCCTGATGCCAGAGTTGCTCCACCCATTGTCAACATGAGCAGAGGTCTAATTAGCCAACAAGGGTATAACACCTGTGTGCAGGCCCTTCACGTTTCTTTAGTTTATTCCGTTTGTGCTCATATTTTATTGAGGCTGTTTCTAAGTTCAAAAAAAGCAAAGCATTTCCAATTGTTTTACACTGAAACATGAAGGATTTAAGATGTTGTAGTCATTAAATGCCAAATATCTGAAGCCTTTCATTGAAAACAGAAACAACAGCAGGTGATGTAACTGGTTAAGGTGAACTAATCAGTGATATCTGCTGGTGGAGTGTTTAGAATAAGAACCACCCGACTTTGCACTGCTATTTCTCTGATATTGCCAGAGCTGAATCATGTTTACCTTTAGCCCTGTTGCTTCTGTGTTAAATTGTAGATGCAATGACTTTCTTAAAAAAACCTGGCGTTACATCTGAACAGGCCCAGCCGGCATTACTGCCAGAATTCACAGGTGCTAAATATGTGAAACGGTCCTTGGAGAGTTGCTTCTCTTTTGTCAGTCTCTACAGGAATTTTAGTGTGTCCCAGGGTCTAAGCATCCCTTTAGCAGTCTGCTCTGCCAGGCTGGGAGCCTGCCAGAGTGGTTCAGAGTCAAACTACCTGGCCCTGCTGAATCAACCTCAGCCACAAATGTTGCCAGTCTGGCCTGTTTGAGAAATCCACAGACACAGTATACACCTAACAACCACAGCCAAAAAAGACCCAGGACTAGTCACACTTAGCTTTTTATCTGCTTGTTAAGTAAACATAGTCATGTATTCATTTTGTATATCATGCTTCCTTAAAACTGAGGGTGAACTGGGCTTTTTTTTTGTTTGTTTTGTCACCTGGTAATCCTAAATGCCTGGCACATGGAGTCAAAATCTGATTTTATTTAAAGTCATGAATGAATGAGCAACATTTGTGATTAAGCTATTTTAAGTGGTTGTATTATTTTCAGTAAAAGATTATTGCTATACTAAAATGCCATCAATTGGCACATTACACGGGAATGTTTAACAAACGAGCCATTTCACAGTTAGAACAAAAGGAAAGCTGAACAAACAGTGTGTGAGCCTGTTATTTCCATCTCCCTGGACACGACAGGTGGCCTAACATGAAAAAACAAGCACACACCAAACGTTATTCGGAAGTCTGTCAATTATACGTGTTTTAGCTTGATGAACCTACATTTCATCTGGCATAACTTATTTACCCCCTTTGCCATATTCAAGACTCCCCACTGAACTCGTCCCTGCAAGGAATTCTCAGTTTGGGGCCTAATTTGATAAACTTCTGTGCGTAATTGTAGCCTATGTTTTAGGTAGGCCTGTGCCGAATTAAAGAGTGTGTCCCTCTGTTTTAATAAAAGACTTGGACGAACGTTTCGATTCCTGTCATTTCTCAGAACACCAGCAAACATTAAAGGGCAGAAGTCTGAATGAGTTTTGCGTGAGGCGCTGCCTCTTCCAGTCCTTACCTTGCCTGACAGTTTTCAACCTGACGGGACCTTTGCAGTTCTTTATGACTGTCTGCACGTCGTACAAGGGTAATCCCGAAATCGAGAGGTTCTCCACCTCCAGAAGAAGCTCCCCTTCGTTTAATGTTCCACTTTTGTAAAGCACGACATCGTCGTTGACCGGCCCGATGTAGGCGAACTCTCCGTTCTCCGCGCCGCCGCGCAATGGCACATTCAACTCTCCACGGGCATCTTTAGAGACGGAGCACTCGTTCACTCTGGCGGCCCAGTGGTTCTTCTTCAGCACAGGTTTGGACATTGTGAACAGTTACGAGCCAGCACCAGAACAGGTGGGCCCTGCAACTGAAATAAGAAACAGTCACAGCAACAATACCTCAAAGAAAGTAGAGTTATAGTGGAGCGCAGCAAACTTTCTTTCTCTTCCACAGAAACATGAGTGCCCCCGCTCTCCCACGGTGAGAAATCAAGGCATTCTTTTTTTTTGCTCTGAAGTCGGTCCTTATTGTGTGGATGTCTTTTTCATCGTTTTCTAAACATCCCAGCAGTTTAATCCTCCTTTATTGCTGTCATCTCACATCTGCCACGGTACCACTTACGTCGCGTGTCCACTTATTAATTCGTCTCGGTTGTTCTTATAAACTCACTTTAAATTGTATTCTTTTCTTTTCTCCAGTTAACAGAGACTGTAGTCTTTTCTCTCCTTGCCAGGCCGTTGACTTTATTAGCTGTTGTCAGCGTCCTCGGGTCCTTTACCCAGGTACAACGCAGTCGTGCGTTTCGCTGAATCTCATTCCAACTCTCTGGGCTCCGCTGTGGCACTGGGAATGTTGGTGTTTGTGCTGCATTCATCAAGTATCGGAAATTGTAAACTCGGGATGGCACCACATTGTCCATAGACTTACTCTTGACTAATGCATTGTAAATGAACGTTTTCTACAAGTTTTTGAACTTAGAAGAGCAATGTATTGCAAGACTGCACGAAAATGTAGGTCTATGTCATTGCTGTTAACCCGCAGGTTATTTGAAAGGGGAATTTGTACACTCAATAAGATTTTATTTTATTTTTAATTGATTTTACTGAATGTGGTTATATTCATTCTTTATGTAGGCTGTGTATTATTTTAATTTGATAGGCTAAATATATATTTAATATTCCTGATGCTCAGTTGAAAGCTGCACCAAATCCCTACTTAATAATTAGCCATGTTACAGAAGATAGACTTACAAGGCAAATTTGTATGATTCAAACTAAAGTAACCCATATTGTGTTATAATTTCTTGTCAGTATCCTAAATAGCAGAGCAAAATATTCTGTTTGTGTTCGTGCCTCCCAGAAAATGTAACATCGACATTAACATATATTGTGTTAGCTACTTAAAAGTGAAAACCTATAACGCCTTTTAAAATGCAGCAAATCTGTCATATTAGAATTTTTATATTATTCATGCTTTAGCATTCAACAAATGGAAGTAGCAACTCTAAGTCAACTTTATTAAGGCTTGTCAGTGCAAGTGTGTCATAATTTCTTGTCAGTATCCTAAATGGCAGAGCAAAATATTCTGTTTGTGTTCGTGCCTCCCAGAAAATGTAACATCGACATTAACACTTTGTGTTTAATTTATAGCATTAGTGCAATAGACTGTTTAATTGAGACAGTGAGATTCTTAAGTTTAGAATGTCCGAAGACGGAGCCGACAAAGTAGACTTGAATGCAGCAATATTACAATGCGCGCATGCGTACTGCTCAGAGCAAAAAGTGGCTATTGGTTGTATCTCCTACAATCAACATCATTTGGCTTCCCTTAAACAGGGATGGTGTCATTTTGTGTGTATTTCAATCAGTTCAAACTATGACACTGAAATATAAATTTAATTAAAACGCACATATCAAATATAAAGTGTATTGTAATGGATTTGTCACATGGTGCCAGACATTCCTATTACAAATATTTGCTTGTCTCAGGAGATTTTGCCAAGAAATTGTCATTACTTGTGTGAAACTGGGCAATCGTCAGTATCCATTCAACAGGTTTGACGACGATGATGATGATTCTGACTGGAATGTTAATTTGAACAAGACCTCCTGCCTGACAATATTCCTGCATTTCAGGTTAGACTGGTGGCACATAGTGTATTTGTGTGTAGCTGACACCTCCCTCTCTGCTCAGACACTCCTAAATGCATCTGCATTTGCCCCTGACAAAAAATTGTGAACAGAATTTGTTGTTTCCCTTAGACCATGCTCATGTTTTTTTAATCAAACAAACCGCAGAAGGGTTTGGACTTTTATCCAGTGATACACTTTCACATGTACACGAATAAAAATGTGTTGGCCACAATAACAGCCTGATCCCATTTTAATCATCATTACAATCACCACCCATTCTTGTCTTCTCTACTGTGCCAGTGATCCTGACCGAGGAATAACAGTGAAAGCCCTCTTGGTCCCATGGGAGGTAAAAAAAATTGCCAGGATGGGCTGGGAAGTGTACTTTTAAATCAAACCTTACAACTTTCCCTCATCTTCATCTGTTATTAGCCGCCCCTCATGGGCAAGTGATGAACATGCATGAAAGTGCTTAAAACACAATGCAAGACTCAAGTTTTATAAGTTATGTACAGCCACTTGTGACTACACTACATGAGAAGAACAAAGTGTTTATCCCATTGGAGTTGCTGCATCCTTCAGTTGTGTGAACCACCTAAACAAAACAACTTAGTGAAGGGAAGGGAATGACCACATCTGGTGCCAAGAGGATGAATCCTGCAGACTTTGGTGATCTTTGGTGATATTTCCTTTATTGCCATCATAGACGTAAAATTTGTGGTTATCAGTGAGATTTCTCAAAAACAGATGGATTGGCATGAAACAGGGCACAGGCATTCATGTTTTCCCCAGGATGAATTATAACCACTTTAGTGTTTCCTTGACCTTTTCATACAGTGCCATCATCAGGTTTAACAAAACTTTTTTATTCAGTACTTAGGTTTATGACAGGATACCTGCAAAACTAATGACATTCCCATCAGCCTTAGCTGCACCTTGGGTTCACCAGGCACAGGCAAATGACCTATTTTCAGTCATTTTCTCAGATTTCATAAAGAGGCTTTAATGTAAATTCTCCAAGACTTATTATTATAAGCATGCCAGTCTGAGGGACAATTAAAAGGAGAATGGTAAAGTAAGGTTTTGGAACCTGAGCTCGGTGTACATGCACAATATGTCTGCATGTACAGTATATACAGTGGGTGATATTTCAGTTTTTCTTTTTTAATAAATCTGCAAAAAAATAAAAAATTCAGTGTTTTTCTGTCAATATGGGGTGCTGTGTGTACATTAATGAGGAAAAAAATGAACTTAAATGATTTTAGCATATGGCTGCAATATAACAAAGAGTGGAAAATTTAAGGGGGTCTGAATACTTTCCGTACCCACTGTATAGTATGTGCCAGTCATTTCCATTGTGACCTCCAGCTGGGTGTCACACAGCTTCCCTGGCAACTTCCTGTCACACAGTGTCGCCCAAATCGGATTGACAGAGGGAGACACACTGCCATGGGCCCAAAGTTTCCTGTTCCCTTTCCACCCATCATCAGTCTGTATGTGTCAACATCTTCTTGCTGGTGGTTGCTGCCTCTCTGTATTTCACAGTCATGTTCTCACATATAAATAAATGTAAATTTTTGCATGCACACTGTAACAGTTGAAAGGCTGACCAGTTCTTGCTACCATGCTAACTCTGAGAGACAAGACAGTCCAAGTAACTTCAAAACAGTGCTGATTTATTCAAAGGATCACAGGTAAAATTAACAGTACACGCTGTTAGATATTTTTAGTCAGATAGATATTGGATAGATACTTTATGTATTAGAAATGTTTAGTGGAGATAGGATGTCTAGTTAGACTGTTAAATGCTTAGGCATGCTTATGAGTTTCTACAGGGTACATCTGGTCAAGGATAACTAGAGAGAAGAGTTGATGACTGTCAGCAGACAGGGTGTTTAATATTATTATTACGACATGTATAACTGTAGCCTTAGCCATAATATGTTCTTATGTTTAAGTCACGACATGTACTAGAGGTCGTGAGAATGTTTTTAGCTACACACCACTTAACCAACAGACACACACACACATTGATTTGCTTCATGTTTTGACTACTGCTAAGCAGTAGTCAAAACATGAAGCAAATCAATGTGTGTGTGTGTGTGTCTGTTGATTAAGTGGTGTGTAGCTAAAAACATTCTCACGGCCTCTAGTAACATGTCGTGACTTAAACATAAGAACATATTATGGCTAAGGCTACAGTTATACACGTCATAATAATAATATTAAACACCCTGTCTGCTGACAGTCATCAACTCTTCTCTCTAGTTATCCTTGACCAGATGTACCCTGTAGAAACTCATAAGCATGACTAAGCATTTAACAGTTTAACTAGACATCCTGTCTCCACTAAACCTTTCTAATACATAGAGTATCTAACCAATATCTATCTGACTAAAAATACCTAACAAAGTGAATGTGCACACAGGCACAGCCACAAGTTGTATTTTCCACATGAATCAACCCACAATCACATCAGTATTCACCACTAAATTGCACTTAGTACTGAACATTCTCCACAATCAGTGATGGTCCACATCCAGTATTACATGTAGTGGATGCTGACATTACAGTCAAAATACTGTCATTTTACAACCATGCATTACAGGTTATATAACCCATCCAGTGTCAGATCTGTAATACTATATGCTAGTGCATGATCTACATATGAAACTCAGCCCCACAGAATATGCAGTGACTGTCAGTGTTGATCTTGAGGAGCTATGTAGAAAAGTCAGGACCTTGTCATGGAGGGTTCTCATTAAAGCAGTGCTCTGAAATTTTCACTTTGTGCCATTGTGCAGCTGTGTCGTGACAGCATACAGTATGCATGAAGAAGACCTGGATGAGAATGGTTTGTTTGTCTTAAACTATTATTAGCCACCATTTCCATTGACTCTGCCTGATGTGCCTGGTGGCACCCATGACAAATAATGACAGATTGAGCTTAATGGTCAACAGTAATAATAAAGGCTTCAGATCTGACAGCTACACTCAGATGTCTTTGGTGCTGCACTCTCACAGTCCTCCACCATTAATGGCTTTCATAATGTACACGGTTCACAAATTGTGTAATATGCCACAAGCATCACTATTCAAACCTGAACTACTAAGTGGCATACTTTTGATAACAGTGCACAAGCGCTTGTTAAGGTTGCATGAGGTAGATTTTCAGAACCTGCTGACAGACACTGTGTTAATGAAGTTATCTGGTCACAAATGCATGGCTCTGTTGCTCGAGCTCAGACAGCTGTATAATGTATTTTTACATAAGTTATTCTAAGAGCTGAAGTCCTTATGTATAGGTATGTAAAACAATTTGTCATAAAATATCACAGATTATAAATTTTAAGTGGCACCTTTGGTGGTCCTTCAAAATTTTAAAGTGTTAGAATCAGTCATTTCATAGCTGCACTGTGACTAGTGTAGCAGAGAGGACCAGATGAACTGTGGGATACATTTTAATATGGGCACACTGCAGTGACACTAGGGTGCATGAGCGCTGGCTCTCTTTCTGTATTGGTTCACTTGTCAATAATGCATGTTTTTCATTGCCAAAGACTAAAGTTATTGGTCTGGCACCATACCTAAGCTGCCTGTGTCTGCCATGCCTGGCAGCGACCCGCCAACAATGCCAAGGTGGGTGGTCATGTTGCCGGACAAGAACACTTTTCAGTGCTGGAAATTTACCAATATTTTCCTTCAGAAGCCAGAAAAGGGTTTTGCTTGGTGCCTGTTGATTAGGCTACATG